TCACAACCTTGACCTGCTGGGCTCAGGTGATCCTTCCACCTCAGCCTTCCAAGTAGCTGGAACCACAGGCATATGCCACCTTGCCCGACTAATTTTTTTTTTTTTTATTGTAGAGGAGGTCTTGCCATGTTCCTCAGGCTGGTCTTGAACCCCTGAACTCAAGCGATCATCTCGCCTCTACCTCCCAGAGTTCTTGGATTGCAGGTGTGAGCCACCGTGCCAGGCTTGCTTTTTTAAAGTTTTTGAGTCAAGGTCTCTCTCTGCCACCCATGCTGTGGTGCAGTTGCATGATCACTGCTCACTGCTGCTGCAACTTTTTGGGCTCAGATGATCCCTCTGTCTCAGCTTTCTGAGTAGCTGGAATTACCAGCGCATGCCACCACCTGGATGTTTTAAAAATTTTTTTTGGCAGTTGCTTTACTAAGTTCTGGTCTCTTTGAACTATGTCTGCCATGTTTTCCTAAACTTTGGCCCCCTTCCCTACCTTAGAGAGGTGAATCTCCTCTCTGTCTCTTCCTAATTTACTTTCTAAGTAAACTATATTTTCCAATGTAAAAAATAAAATTATTTTGTAGGGACAAGACCGTGCTATTTTGTTTAGGCTAGTCTTGAATTTCTGTGCTCAAGCGATCCTCCTCCCTCGGCCTCCCAAGGTGCTGAGATTACAGGCGTGAGCCCCTGGTCCTGCTCAATTTGTTTTATTTTATTTCTTTATTTTTGTAGAGATAGGAGTCTTGCTTAGGCTGGTATGGCAACTCTTGGACTCAAGCATTCCTCCCACTTCAGCCTCTCAAAGTTACAGACCTGAGCCACCATGCCTGGCCTAAACTATTTTTATCAAAGTAGTATGTCTACATTATTTAAATTTCTAATCTAATGGTTCAGAAAAATTATAATTAATGTCATTCCCACATGAATTTTGTTGACATGAGTATAAGCACTTTTCAGGTACATTTTTGGTCTGGGATGTGTACTGACATCTAGCGAGATTAACAGTTTTGCTGGTCTATAATAGATGGTACTGAGGGGGAAGCAGAAGTTGGAGAAGTACAACAGAGCAGAAGTGTCACTTATGATCTCTCGAAATTGGTCAACTATCCAGGTTTCAATATATCTACTCCCAGAGGAATTCCAGATGTAAGTGTCTCGGTATTTTTTTGAATTCTGAGATGTAACATTATTATGTTAAAGATTGTTCAAAATATTAATGTATGTAGCAGTTGCTGTTAAATAAAGTTATACATGTGTTTAACTTTTTAATTTCCTTTATGTTGACTAGGTCCTAAATGAAATTTTATAGTCATCAAAATCACAATTTGTTTCTAATTTTAAAAGTTTTGTTTTGTTTTAATATGGGATGACTCTGAGACAGTATTATAAATTTTACAGAATTACTTGGGAAGTAAATTTCTGTCTGGAATAAACCTAAGTATGCTATAACTCTTTTTTCTGTTCTTTCTTGACTTTTTTCCCCACAAAATTTCTCATTCTGTATGTGAATGGTTTTTCCATACTTACTCTTTTCCAACTTCCATCTTATGTTTCAACAATGAATATCGTGTTGTTGTTTTATTAAAAACTGTGTTCTTGGTGTTCTTGAGAACTGGACGATAGGGAAGAAGCCAATGATTTGAACTTGGAGTCTAGTGAATAGTTACAAATTAATGAATCACACAAAACAGTATGTAATTCATTAAGGGCTAAATTGCATGATACAGACTATAAGTACTTCTGAAAGTGGGTCTGAATTCCAGTGTACATCAGAATCCCCTGGGCGGTACTCATTAGAAATGCTCATTCTTTTTCTAAATTTATAAATAGAGACAAGGTCTCGCTATGTTGTTCTGACTGGTCTCAAACTCCTGGCCTCAAGTGTGAGGCTCCTGGCCAAAAATGCACATTTTTTAGTCCCAACCTTAGACTTAACTGACTCAGACCCTGGCATTTGTATGTCTCACAATAGCACAAAGTGATTTTTATTGAGAACCACTGTCGAATGTGCTATTGGAGATGCAAGAGAAACAAATATGTTGAACCTTAAGATCAGTACTCTATTTGGAAAGGAGAAGAACAGAATATAGGAAACTCATGGTAAGTGGCTGGGCGCAGTGGCTCACGCCTATAATTCCAGCACTTCGGGAGGCCAAGGTGAGAGGACTGTCTGAGCCCATGGGTTCAAGACCAGCTTGGGCAGCTTGGTGAGACCTCATCTCTACAATAAATAAAAAAGTTAGTGGAGTATAGTGGCATGTGCCTGTAGTTCCAGCTACTTGGAAGACTGAGGCAGAAGGATCACCAGAGCTGGTCGAGGCTGCAGTGGCTGTGAGCATGCCACTGCACTCCAGCCTGGCAACAAAGTGAGACTCCAACTCAAATAAAAAGAAAATTCACCATGAGCAAGTGTGTTAGGAGAAATGAGCTATCGACAGTACTGTTAGCAGTGCCCAGTGCACGATAGGAGAGAGAGACAAGCCAGGCGGCCTGATAGGAGTCCTTCCTGCCTCCAACTTCTCCTTGCAGTCGGTAGACCCTTTTATGGCCAAGTGATTATGTCAAGCAGTCTTTTAGTATTCAGTCCTGATTATTTTGTAGGCAGGTTTTTTTTCCCCTCTTCAACACATCATTATTTTTCTTAATTTCCAATATAAAGAAGAGTCACATAAGAAGCAGAAATGTAATTTGAGACCACTGCTTTACCTAATTTGAGCAATATCTCAAAACATGACATTTTCGAAATGCATATTTTTTTCCCTTCTTTTCATCATTAGGAATGGAGGATATTTGGTTCCATACCAATGCAGGCATGTCAACAGAAGGATGTGTTTGCCAATTACCTTACTTCTAACTTCCAAGCGGTAAATAAATTTTAAGGGTGTGATCTATAAAAATTTGTTGTATATATCTGTGAGATTTTGTAGCTCATTAGTTATAAAAGGAAAATAGTAGCTAATTTTACCAGTTACCTAGACTTAGCTCCCCATTGGGTTTCTACATCATTTAAGTGAAGGGGTGGAGTTTAATACTTTGTCTTCCCCATCTAACTTTGGTTTGGTTGCTTCTTTAGCCGGGTGTGAAGTCTAGCGGCAAAAGGTCTTCATCTCAGTCCAGCCCAGGTAGTCCAAAGAAGCAGAAGAAGGAAAGCAGCTCAGCAGACTCCCCTGCCGACATGGAACTTGACTCGGGTACGTTTCATTCTGCAGCCTTGTAACATTGAGAAGTGAGGATGAATTTCTGTGCTCCTGAGTTCCATAAGAAAGGGAAAGCTTCCTTATGAGCACTGACAAAATAGTAAATCAACGTTTTATTCTTGGAGATCAGAGCATCGCCACTGTCACTGATAAAAGCTGAATTGGAAGCCGGAGCTTGGTATCAGAGCCAGTTGGGCTGGCTAACTGCACTCCTGAATCAGGCAGACTCACTCATCCAGTCCTGCAGTGCTGGACTGGCCCCTCTGATCAGGGTAGCAGTCTAGGGCAAGTGGTGAAAAGCATGTGCCCTTCTGACAGCTCGGTCTGAAGAAGAAGAGCTCAGCTGAACCAAGCTTTCCCAGTTGTTCTCTCTAGTCATATTAATTTGATAAATCACTCCCCCTCCCTAAGAAAGAGGCCATGAGGAAAATCTGTCCTCCTTGAAACTCAAAATAGGACAGAGACTTTCTTAGGTTTTTGTTCTCTTAACCGTCTGTGCTTAACCACATAACCTGTGGTCAACCAGGATTAGTCTGGTCCTTTGGACAGATCAGTAGTGGATTAGTACAGTCCTGTTCCCACCTTTTGAAGCTCCTGTACCCCTCGGTACCAAACATTGCTCCCTTGGGTTTCCCCCTGGGGCTACTGTTCAGAATTTTATATTTTTGCCATAGAAGGCTTTTGAATGGATCTGAATTTTGCACTTACTGAGTAAACTTCAAGGCCAGTCTAAATTTAAGGCAGAAAACTTGCTCCTTGGTCAATTTCTCATCCCAAGCTATGCCTAGCAACTTTGGTCATATATAACCTATTAGATGTTCTGAAGTGAGGTGAAATGGCAAGTGCTGGATTAGGGTTACGGTTAGGGTTAGGGTGCATGCACCTGTAGTCCCAGCTACTTGGAAGACTGAGATGGAAGTATCACTTGAGCCCGGTAGGCTGAGGCTGCAGTAGTGATGATCATGCCACTGCACTCTAGCCTGGGTGACAAAGTGAGACCAACTCAAATATGTACATATATATATTCATATATATAAAAGTCATAAATTAATTCTCCTTAATGTTCAAAGGACTTGAAGTCCAAAATTGAATTTTGTTGCACAAGTGACTTTAAAGTTCAAACTGAAAGGCCTCAAATTATTTTCCCAAATTTTTTACTCTGCTTAGTCTCAGCTACAGGGGTTCCATATGCCTGGGTAGAGTTCACAATCTCGACTTCTAGCTCCTACAGCCTGACTTCAGTCTCCAGTGTCACTTTTTTTTTTTTTTTGCTGGGATTACAGGTGAGAGCCATCGTACCCAACAAGGTTCCTTTTTTTTTAATGCCCCCAAATTCATTTCTTGGCACTCAGTCCAGAAGGGAATTTGGAGCACTAGATCTAGCAGCTAGCCCTGGTTTAACCAGAACCTTGCCAGTTCTCTCTAATGCACACAGAACCTTCGCAGAACAAAGATTACTTCCAAAGACCTGACATGCCTCATTTCTGCACCCTCAAGGTCTTCCTCAACCATACCTCCCCAGGAATGTTGCACCTGCATAGCAGGCACGGCAACACTCACGGGCCTCACCTGTGCAGTCTGTACCTGTGCTTACTGAGCCTCTGCTGGCATCTGGTGATGCTTCTGCCTGCCTGCACACATCTACAAAGTAGAGCCCACTTGCCAAAGGCCCTCTGGCTCAACCATCAGCAAAGACAGCTGGTCTTGGTTAGACCCTCTGCTTTGCAGAAGGTTAAACCTCTGTCTCTTTAGAAACAGCCACACCTATAAATAAAATCACCATAAGATATAATCACCTGCTGAGGACAAAGGACCATATAACAAGAGGTTTCTTGCCCAAACCACAGGCTTAAAAGATGGGCCATTAAAAGGGCCAGACAGCCGGGCTCGGTGGCTCAGCCTGTAATCTCGCGCCTTTGGGAGGCTGAGGTGAGTGGATTGCCTGAGCCTGCGGGTTCGAGACCCACCTGGGCAGCGAGACCTCATCTCTACAATAAATCAAAAAATCAGCCGGG